TATTATCTAAATCTGTAAATATTACATTAAATTGTTTGCTATAAATTATAGAAACAAATGCCTTCGATATCAATGAAGAATACACCACCACAGTTCCACCACGAGCTGTTAATCTCATCAAATTTCCTAAATTTTCATATGCGAAAAAATATTGTGATACATTTACTATTATCATAAATGTTAAAATTGTATATCGTTTTAATTTCTCTATGTACGGAAAGGAGACTTTTTTGAAATCAACCAAGCCATAAATGTGCAAACCTGGAAAATCGGATAATCTCTATTATAACATTTAAATTATAATTTTGATCCAATCCAATTCCAAAATATATTAAACGAGTATATTGTACCCACCTTTCAAATGTATCCCAATAAAAGGATTATTTTTCAATTCCAAATCCATCGTCTTATACAAAATTATGATAAATAATAATCTGCAGAAGCTATAAAGTCAACTGATTGAATTATCAATCATAATTACTTAATTGAATTTTACTGCCATTCAAGATATATGATTATGTGATTATGGCAGTGACTTTAGTCTACGGAATAATTGGGTATAGACATGAATAATTACTTAGAATAGACTATGGTTTGTAAATTTTAATAATTGTCTCCAAAATGAATATTGTTTGCAATTTGCATTTTTAATAAGTTATTCTCCATACAAGTAGTTTAAATCAGAGATATGTGGCAATATTTTATGTGACCAACATGTTCATTTATTTGTTTAAATACATACTTAATTATATTTTGAAATGTTTTGGTAAGGTTGATTTATTAAAAGAGCAAAATGAAAATCTATTATTACTGCAAATAATAATAATTATTTCTCTATTAATTAACTTCCCGTAGGGCAAGTTATAGTAATCGCAAAAAATCGAAAATGAAAATTAAAAAAAAAAAAAATTGGTACGGGAAGTACCAGCAATTTGCCTTAAGGCACGATGCCGTGCGTCCCACTAGTTTTGTTTTTTAAAAGAGTATGATTATATTATTATAAAGTTATTGTTCACATTAGAACTTTGTATCATTTTTCTTCAGCAATATTTTTCAATTATTAATAATTATGAATAATTATTCATTTGGTTAATAATTTTTGGAATGATTAATTATATTGTTTACATTTACTCAAGCTCAAGGTAAATTGTTAATTATTTAACATCGTTTTTGGATCATGTATCAAAATATATAATGTTATTAAAAATATTTTCAATATCTCGCTTAGCAATTGCATTGCTCTTCTAATAATTGTATTTGCAAAAGCATTTAATAGAAGTAAATTTATTATTTTAAATACAAACACTGAAAAATTCTACACAACATTTATTTAATAAACAATGATCTAAACAAAATATATATAATATCAACAGTTCTTTGGTAATAATGACTAGAAAAAACAATAGTTTGAATATTTATAAAACAAATTGACTAGTAAATTAGATTTGATTTTTCAGCAAAATTACTCCTAAATACAAATATCTAAAGAGCCTAATCTATATATAAGATATGATGTAAACTATTTTAATCCTCGGAAGAGCCATCAAATATAGCTACCCACAACATGGCAGTGAATACAATAAAAATCGAACCCGGTATTAAAACTGTCATTGTTATATCTTTACTGTAACTTCTCTCGGGCACTTGGTCTTTTCTAATATTGAACCATCTTTCAGCATCATGGGGATCTGATGCTATTTTTGAGTCCTCTGATTGATGCCTTGATACAGATCCATAATTATCTTGCTAAATTGAAAATCATAATATTCAAGTACCAAATTTGTAGAGAAATGAAATTTATGGAATATTTACCAAGCGAAAAGCACACCAATCCAATGCAAATGCTGCATCACGAAATATTCTTTCAACTGTTGTTCTTTTAAAATCACGTGGGCAAGAAGTCAATTTGAACAGTGGTTTTACCTCCTCCTAAAAATTTCATTGGAATAAAGAAGAATCATATAAAAATAATTATATTTTGATAATGACCTGTAATTCTGTGAGTTCAGTGGAGTATGGTTTAGAACTAGCCAATCTCACAACAACTCTGCCAAAAGTGAATTGTAATAATTATAAATAAATAAAAATAACGTCAATTTTTTTTAAGTTTACCCTTCTTTTTCATCTGGCATAAGTGGCAATCTAGCGCCTAAATGAATAGCTGATTCTACAAATGTTACATAGATATCAGTCGCTTCTCTCCACATTTTCTTTTTAAAAACATCTAATAACCGATCCATACGATGGGGGTCTAACATATCCTCCACATTTAGGCTATCAATTTTTAGTTGTACCTAAACAATTTTCAATTACTGTTAGAAAAATTTGTAAATTTGCTAAAAGGAATATTTTATAAGCACCTCATGCCGAACTGCCAGTGGTTTCTTGTGTACATTTATCTCAATGATTGCAGTTCGTGTTTCATAATTTTGATAGTTTAAGCCTATCACTTGGATCTAAAATGAATTTACATTGCATTATTCAAGTAATAATGAGTTAAGTTTGCTCAAGTCAATTTATTGATTCATTTATCAAATGCGAATTTCTATAAGCAAATCATTAATACCAATATGATATTATTATTATCATTTACTTGCAAATTCTGTTGCACAACTGGTGGAGTACCATATAAAAAGCCTGCATGCTGTTGTTTACTATATGTGTAACGTAACCATGAAGGAAGATCAGGAAGCCCAAGCAAGGAACAACTGTAACTGTACTGTTCGGTTAATCCTACAATAAAAAATGAAACTAGATTTTCTGAGGGCTTTTGAAAGTTAATCATTTCATATTTGTTTTGATACCTTGAAAAGTCCAGTTAAACATACGAGGTTCAATTTTAATGGAAAACATTTCTGCTCCATATACATTTTCAGATTTTGCACCCTTACATACAAAAAATATTATAAAACATATAGTAATTTGTGAGCAAAATTCCTTCGTAAACATTTTGAGAATTGACCTAATTTAATCTGAAAGAAAATACTGCTATAAGAAATTATTGGAATATCACATACATATGTGCTTAAATTTTTTTTATCAGTAGCGCTGTTATTACTTTAAATCATTATATATTTATGTAATAATAAAGCCGTTAAAAGCTCATTTTAACAATAAGCGAGCTTAATGACAGGCGAATGAATAATAATTGTTGTGTTGTGGCATTCCTGCAACCTAACTTTGTGTGCGATCCACTTACACGCCGGTTACTAGCTTCACACTTATTTATACTCTTCTTTTATCTATGTTCACACTATAGAAGCTTTATAGAGACTTCCGTCAAAAACAGCTTCCGCAAAGGAAATAGGACAAGAGCCCTAGACAACAATTGTAATTACACCCATTGTAGTTGATGTATATTTAAAAATCATTGTAGTGGGTCAATGGGTTTACACTCATTGTAGTAGAATTACAATGTATTGTGGTAGTTGATTTACTATGCTCATTGTAGTAGATTTACGCTCATTGTAGTAGATTTACACTCGTTGCGGTTGATTTTTACTATTCTCATTGTAGTAGATTTACTACATTCTTTAATAGTCCCTTTTCGGCCGACTATTGTAAATTTATCAAATTTATTGAATGTCCTTTACTGGACAGTTGTAAATAAAAGAGATAATAATAAAAAAAATTATAGTAGATTTACACTTATTCAGTTGATTTAATATATTTATTGCAGTAAGTTTATACTCATTGTAGTGGCTTACAAACATTGTGGTTGATTTACTATACTCATTGTAGTAGATTTACGCTCATTGTAGTAGATTTGCACTCATTGTAGTTGGTTTACACTTATAGTAGTAGATTTACACTCATTGTAGTGGCTTACAAACATTGTGGTTGATTTACTATACTCATTGTAGTAGATTTACGCTCATTGTAGTAGATTTACACTCATTGTAGTGGTTTACAAATGTTGTGGTTGATTTACTATACTCATTGTAGTAGATTTACGCTCATTGTAGTAGATTTACACTCATTGTACTGGGTTTACAAGCATTGTGGTTGATTTACTATACTCATTGTAGTAGATTTACGCTCATTGTAGTAGATTTACACTCATTGTACTGGGTTTACAAGCATTGTGGTTGATTTACTATACTCATTGTAGTAGATTTACGCTCATTGTAGTAGATTTACACTCATTGTACTGGGTTTACAAGCATTGTGGTTGATTTACTATACTCATATGAGTATACTACTACAATATTGTAGTAGATGTACTACATTCTTTGTAGCGATTTTACACTGATGTAGTTTGCTTACGCTTATTGTGGTAGATTTAAACTCATTGAAGTGGGTTTTCACACATTGTAGTGGATTTACCAAGCATTATAGTTGATTTTCTACGCTCATCGATGAATTAAATTTACACTCATTTTGTAGATTTACTACATTCATTATAGCGATTTTACACTCATTGTAGTTTGCTTATTATGGAAGACATAGATAAAAGAAGAGTGGTGGAAGATTTACACTGATTGTAGTGGGTTTGCAATCATTGTTGTTGATTTACTATGCTCATTGATGTAACTTTACACTCATTGTATTAGATTTACTACATTCATTATAGCTATTTTACACTCATTGTAGTTGGTTTACGCTTATTGTGGTAGATTTAAGGTCATTGTTTTGAATTTAGATTCATTTACTAGATTTACACTTATTGTAATGAGTTTACATGCATTATAGTCAATTTACTACAATCATTGTGGTATATTATAGTCAATATGTTACATTTACTCTCATACAAATCAATTTAAATTCATTGTAGTAGTTCTAAAGGTGTATGTGTGTAGGTCGCATGCAGATTTTCTGAATAAAACATTCATTTAACTAGTGGAAATTGTCCTGAAAATTAATTTTCTTTGAATACATTATTCACAAATGCTAAAAACTGAATGCAAAGTAATAAAAACAATCTATAACAATTATGTAAATTTATTCAAAAATAAAAATTCAGAACCAAATAATAAACATAAACTAAATTTATACATAGGATCGTGATAACCTTCATAACTTTCAAGAAGTATTTTCGTCAATATATTCAAAGTTTCTCCTAAACTTTCATCGTTTAAATCTACTCTTCATTAAGGATAATGTTTTCATCATAAGTGGAGCTCTCTTAGGCTTATGACCTGAAGGAAAATAAATGTATTAAATATTGACAATAAAATAAGTAATGAAAGAATAATATAGGTTTTATTACTAGTAGTTGCTTGTGCATGATCAGGTGCATGAGCTCGTACTTTCAATCTAGAATCTCCAAGCTTTGCTATGTTGCTCTGAATTCCACTTAAAGAGCTAACTCGTGCTGCTGGTGTTGCTACAGCAGCATGCGCAGTTCCATATTGCGCCTAAAATAATTTACAACTTAGAAAATAGTATGAATGGCACTAAATTAATTATTATGAATTATTTAGTCTTCTATGTATAAGTTTGCTGATTTATGATTAATGGTTTACCTCAAAAAAATATAATCCAATTTATAAATGTATCCTTAATATAAAATATATACATGGAAATATTATATTCAAGAATTAATTAATCTTATAAAATGTATTCATAATATATGTTTTGGAGTGTTAGTCCTCACAAATTGTGGTATTGGAGTGGACAAATACGAGTGCCCAATTTAACTCGTTTCTTCTGAAAAGTGTTTAAACACTTTTTTTACAAAGATTATTATTCTGGATAAATTTTAATATCCATTTATAAAATCTACTGTGCTTACCTGCTTTCTTGCAACATTTCGTGGTGGCTTAACAGTTGAGTCAAAATATGCCATCTTAGCTTTGCGAATCGGTTGAGATTTATCTTGAGATTGTTTTATATTAGCAGTAATTGAACGTAATTTTGCTTCTTGCTCATCTAATGACCTCTGTGAATGGCAATGCAGCAGAATATAGATTGTAACAATTTGTAAAACTGTTATTATAATATCTACAGCAAGTATTCATACCAAAAACATTTCTCTCCAGCTTTCCATTTCCAATCGTTGTTTTCCTCTAAATTTTCTCTTGCAATGTAGCTCCCATAACTCATCAGAATCTTCTACGAGGTAAGGATTGTGATCTTCTAATGTAAATAGTTGTTGCGGTGATGCTCTTTCTAATACAGGGCGTAGTATGTCATAAGGCACACCGCCTGTGTATTCTAGTGCTGAAAGTGAAGTTGAAAGTGAATACCATTGAAGAATCCATAAAGAATAAATATGTTCTTACCATCTATGTTCTCTTGTAACAATCTGATGCATAAGTTGTACAACGATGGAACATGAGTTAAAGAACCCTTATTTCCAGAATAGACCTTGGTTCTGAAAAATGACAATCAGGATCAATATAATTATATGTATATTATATATATATTTTATATATATATATATATATATATATTTTAATTACCTGGTATTTTTACTTGACATTGATAGACCTACGGCATTCTGTGCAGTCATCTTTGGTTTATTGTCTTCTTCAATATAAGGCATGGGCCTATAGTTTGGTGAGATGGCAGGAATGGCAGATAGATCTATTTGTAAAGGAGGCAAACTTACAGTTGGTGATAACAACTTTGGAGTGTCTAGTACTTGCTGCAATAATAAATTTATAAAAGTTTATTATTGATATAACATTGAACAAAGTGCAACTTACTGATGGATTTACTGCAGATTTACTTGATGATGGAGTATTGTTCATGCTCGACTTCTTTTTTGGAGACTTGGTACAAACAAATCCCAATGCCTCTTCAAAACTTTGCCCTTTAATACACAAGATTTATAATTTATCAAATTGTATATGAAAAATATTCAAATTGATGCTAATTACCAGAATTTGAACCTATGCCATCATCTATCTCTAATGTTTTTCTTTTTTTATCTTTATGATCATCACTTTTGGAAGATTTATGGCTGCGATTTTCACTTTTAACTTTCTCATGCAATTTTGTATGTTTAGATGAACTGGAGTTATGTCTTTCTGTTGCATCTTCATTTCTAGATTCATGCTTCTCTGTTTTTTTGTTGCTAGATGTAGATTTGTCAATTCTATGTGTTTTTTCACTTTTATGCTCCTTATCACTTTTATTTCCTTTGTCAGTTCTATGTTCTTTTTCGCTCTTATGACTTTTATCACTCCTATGTTCTTTATCACTCCGATGTTCTTTATCGCTCCGGTGTTCTTTATCGCTCCGGTGTTCTTTATCGCTCCGGTGTTCTTTATCACTCCTATGCACTTTATCACTCCTATGTTCTTTATCACTTCTGTGTTCTTTATCACTTCTATGCACTTTATCACTTCTGTGTTCTTTATCACTTTTATGCTCTCTATCACTCTTATGTCCTTTATCACTCTTATGGTCCTTACTCCTATATTCTTTATCACTTTTATGTTCCTTATCATTTCTAGGCTCTTTATTACTCCTATGTTCCTTATTTTTAAGTTCCTTATCACCATGATGTTCTATATTATTTTTATGAATTTTCTCTTTTGAGTTGCTTGATTTATGTTTTTGATGTTTTTTATGATCTTGTTCATCAGAATTGCTTGTATTAATATCATGCCCGCTAGAGTGCTTGTTGTGTGTTTTACTAACTTCCTAGAATTGAAAATTAAATTTACTTGTTACTAATTATTTTCTTAGCATTTAAATATTGGAAATATAAATAAAAATAATAATTTACATTATTTTCATGTTTTGTTCTCTTAGGTGAATTATGTGCCTCAGGATCTTCATTTCTGTGACGTTTATGAGATTTGTGAGAAGGTATTCCATTTTCTATTTGTTTTATGTTGTCATGTATCTGACTAGTATTAAATGAGTTGGGTGTTTTATCTTCTTGTTTACTATGATTACTATATTTATGATTAACATCCTTACTGCAACTATTACTTTCACTATTGTGTGATCGTCCAGAATTATGTTTCACAACCTTTTCTGAAGCTGTGACGTAAGCTACAAAAATAATGAATAATTACTTGAAATACTAATACATGAAATGCAAAATTAAGTGTTACTGCATCTTTAAAATACTCTATAAACACTAAATCATAAATCTATTTTTGTACTTTATTCAAGTTACTAGTGATTAAAATTACTATTGGTGAAGTGTTTGTAAATACACAAACGTCATTAGAAAAAATCACAATTTGCATATTATATTTATTAAAAATAATTATGATGCTCAATCCTGACAATTATGTAATTTTATATAAATTATTCTTGATTATTCTATCCAATATTACTTCTTATAAATTACTTGTTAGTACTTACAATTGCTTATATGTTTATCATCATGCTTTTCTTTAACAACTTCATTAGGAGAAGAATTTGATTCATCACTCTGGTCCTCACTCGCCGCTTCACTACCTTCACCATCATCATCCTCCTCTTCTTCATCATCATCTTCCTCATCATCATCTTCTTCTTCTCTTTGTTCTTCTTCGCTTTCTGAAGATTCTTCTTCTGCTACCATTGTTTTCCATTTTGCTACTAGTGTCTTAGATGCAACAGCTATTTCACCTTCAAATTTTCTTAAACCATTGACCGTTCGGCCAATGCCTGTATCTTCCAAGTGCCGAACACTCACTGGTAAACGACTAAGCCTTTCAATACAATGAAGAATCTGGAATATTATAAAGCATTTATTATTAACATATTGAAAGCTTAAAAAATCATTTGTTGTGCCTGTGTCTTAACACTGTCTAATTATCTTAGGCTTTAATACTGAGGGCTACTTAGCATATTATTCATTGAGGCAGCTATGGAGTTGTTTATATAATTAGAATAATATTTAGCAAAAATGATAGGAATTATTGACTACCAGTTTTGAAATGATAATAATATTGATGTTATGTCTAACTATTATATTCTGTCATACATCAATACAAATATATAATATATACATATAAATATATATATATATATACATATATACCTTAATTTAAACTAGATTGTATGTGAAAGAGCAAACAAGTAAATAATTAATAGTACAACTTACATTTAACAACAAATTACTTGAAATGAACACGGAAAAAGAAATGTAAGTTATCACAAAGTGAAACATATAAATAAGATGAGCATTTCAAAAATAAAATGCCATTTTATAATCTCAAATTATATGTTATAAAATCAAAACATAAATTCATATTTTCATCAAAGTTTATTTACTTGTAATGTGTATGAATTTTAATTTTATAACATGTGATATGCCATGATTGCTTTTTGTACAATGTGTAGTATAGTGATATTAATAGAGAGTACCATTGTTACTTAATTAAATAAATGATTTATATAGAGTTATTATACTAAAAGATAATACAATAGAGTACATAGTATTAGTAATTAAACGTTATTTAACATATGGATTTCAATGAGAGCTTGGGGAAAACAAACTGAAAACTCACTCTTTCCTCATTGCCATTGCACTTTTCAATGCTTCTCTGATAGTGTTTTATTGCGTCACAAATAGACATATTTCATAATACTATTTACAATTCGGTATTTTCTTCTATTTTTCCCTAATAACGGAACTGTCTGGACGAAAGAAGAAAACAACACGTTGAACGATTACAGACTTAATACCTAAGTATAATTACTAAAGATTATTACTACAATTACAAAAATATTCTTTTATATCATCGATCTTATTGCAATAATGTCGATAGCACTAAAATGAATTTGATTGAAATAAATTTGACATTACAACGCCATTTTCCACAAAGCCACAAGATAATCTGTCACAGAATTTGCGATTTGTTGACACAGTACAACAGCTGTACGAAACCAACCTCAATTTTTTGGCATGTTGCAAAAGTGGCAATTATCAATTAATATTTTGAGTTATTTTATATCCTTTAATTGGATTTATTTAGTTATATGTTGTTTCTGTTATTGCAATTCAATTATTTTTAGAAGAGAATTTTATTTGACAGATAAGTTGAAATGGACAACGATTCGAATTCCAAAATCGGCGCTGATTTCTTTTTAAAAGTTCCTGTTAAACCTGTCTCAAGGTATTCGAATTTAAAATTGATATCAAAATATAAATCATATAATTATGCAATGCAGTTGATAATAGAAATTCTAGTTATCAAATGTGCTACCCTTCTTAAAAATAGTAACAGAAATTTTGTAGCAAAAATTTTCATTTTATAGAGAAATGCAACCACTACTCAAATTCGTGGTTTTTTATTATAATGTTCAAATAAAGACTTTGGCGAACCCTTCTTAAAGCCCTTCTTAAAGAAGATCTGTAGAATAGAGCTTACAAAACATTTGCCCATAATACATACCATATCAATTTGGTAAAAACTAAAGCCTTTTTTCTTAGGGCATACCAAATTGACCTATAAAAATTTGTATTTAATGAACCCTGATAAAATAAATCCAAAATTGAAATAGTGTGTACTTGAGTACATTTGTGTAGGAAACCATGATTGGCCAAAAGCAAGATCTATTTTAATTTTTTTACCAGGAGTATCGGAGATATTAACAGTAATGGATCATTTGAAACACATTCATTTATTTAAACCCTGGTTAATATTTAAATATTGCTATATTCTGTAGCAAGAAATTTATGAATTTGTTTATTCAAAGACTGGACAATTTTTGCTATTGCCATTACATTCAACATTAGGTTCTGAGGAGCAAGCTGCAATATTTAAAAAACCTCCACGAGTTGTCAAGAAAATTGTTTTAAGTACTAACATTGCCGAGACATCAATTACAATTGATGATTCGTGGTTAAATCTAATAGATTATTAAAGTTTCAATTTTCTAAAATATGTTTAAATAAACCCTTTGACAAATTAAGCCCTTCTTAGAGAAGATCTGTAGAATAAAGCGTACAAAACATTTGCCCATAATACATACCATATCAATTTTACTAATTGTATTTGACACAAATTATGAATCTAATGATGTTAATTACATTTAATGTTTCTGTAGTGAAAAAAGACATGAAGAGCCATCAATTCCAAAACTCAAAGTCGAGTTACATACTATAAATCTTTCTGATGACTCCCAAAAATTGGTAATGGATACCTTGAGACACATTAATGGAGATGATTTTTGTTTGAATGAAGCAAATCAATATGTGGATCTAGGATCAAATTTGTATACCAGGTTAGGACTTTACTAAATGCTGAAAAATTATAAATGTTTTGTTTTTACACTAAGAATAAAATAATATATACCACTAACTTAAAGCTATCTTGTACAAAACTGGTCTTATATTATTTATATTATTATTTATTTCAAATACAAAATAATTCTGGTTTGTTTATTTGCAAACGAGTTTTTATTTGTAATATGTGATATATTTTTGTGTGAGTTATAGTATGCACACCCAGAAATGTTCATTAAATATTTAATACAACAAAATCTTCAAAAATTACAATTTGCATAATTTTCTTGGTGATTTTCCTATTGTAGATATTGGAAAGACAGGGGAAACCTTATAGTGCAGAGTGGTACTGATTACTCGAATATAAAAGATGAAAATAGAATAACAGCAATGGAAGACAAGTTCCGTGCATTTGCTGTTAGTAAATTAGAAAATTATGGTTTTCATAGAAATCATTGTGTAGAAGCTCTAGATCATACTAATGGAGATGTGGCCAGTTCATTAGAATTGTTATATTTCAAGTATTATAATTTAACTAAGAGAAATATTGATTGCACATTAAATGATCAAGAGCTATTAAGTCAACGCTGTGATGAAAAAGATGTATTATTATCAATCTATGAAGAATCATTTGTTGAAAAAGATTTGAATAAAATATGGAGTTTAACTTTAAAACTAGATAATTTATTAAAATATAGTAATTCTATTAAAAAGCTTATCATAAAAGATGAAAAAGCTAAAACAAATAATAAGAAAAATGTTGAGAAGTGTAGAAATTTTGCAAAGGGTAAATGTAAATTTGGTATTAAATGCAGATTTTTACATGAAATTGTAGAAACTAAACCTTCCAAAGAAGAATTGGTTCGTGAATCGGTTTTATTTAATTTAGAAATTCGATTTACTGAAAATAGCAAATATCCATTTGAACCACCTATGATTTTTCTAACAACAACACATAAGGATTTTCCAGATATGTTCTGTATGCATCTGTGTAAAAGATTAATTACTGAAGCTCAGAACCTTGCTGATGATGGAATTGCATGTGTTTTTTCTTTAGTAGAACTTCTTAAAAATGAAGAAGATATGGATGAATTTATTTCTTCAACAAAAATAAAGTTCATAGACTGCACTCGAATGCTGTTTGCAGATGCTAAAACTGATAGAACAAAAGTCGAAAACAATTTGCCAACTCATCATGCCAAAGGTTTTTATTGTTCATAATTTATTTTTTAATAGTTGTGTCTGCATGAAGAAGATAATAATTTATTAATAAAAGTTTTATTATGAAAACTAATTTGTTTTTTAGTTACATCTAAAAATAACTGAGATATAGTATTTTGATTATTTGTAGTTTTTCTTATACTTACTGTTTTTATAAACAAATGTTTTATTCTAAACTTTTAAATATCAATTCTAACTCGAATTTTTAATCATTTTTTAATAATATTGATACTATACTCTTCTATTTTATTAGGTTCAACTGGGAGAGAGCATCGTACTGTGAATAACAGCTCCAAATTAAAGGATGATGGTATATTAGCAACAAAGTTTTTTGAGAAACAATCCAATGCACGTTATAAAGAATTTATAGCCATGCGTAAGCAATTGCCTGCCTGGTGTGAAATGCAGCATATCATAGATGTTGTGGAAAAATCTCAGGTTTGTTTATATCAGTTCTTGATTTGCTTTTTGTGAGATTTTATTTATTCTATGGTGCTCAAGTATTATCAGTTTATTATAAATAAAATATAGAAATTGCTAAGTTTCAAAGAGAATTAATGACTTGCAATATAATCTTTGTAACACTATTTTGAAAATCTTTAAAATTTAGGTTGTAGTCATAAGTGGTGAAACTGGATGTGGTAAAAGTACCCAAGTAGGCCAATTTCTCTTGGATGACTGGTTAATAAACAGATCACCAGAATCTCATCTCGAAATAGTTTGTACTCAACCCAGAAGGCTTTCAGCAATAGGTGTAGCCGAAAGAGTTGCTCAAGAACGAGATGAACGCTGTGGAAATTCAATTGGATACCAGATTCGATTGGAAAGCAAGACTTCCAGAATGACCAGACTTACATTCTGCACTACTGGTAAGTTATTTAGTTTTATTTAGAAATATCCAAAACATTTGCAACCAAAAATATATAGTTTCAATTTATTTATCATACATTCTCTTGCACTTAATTCTTCTTTCACTTAATAAAATACAAATTTATTATTTTTAATAGTATTCCCTATTAACTCTTTTAAGGTATATTATTGAGAAGATTTCTGACAGAAAAGAATCTTGACTCTATAACCCATGTTATAGTTGATGAAGTTCATGAGAGGAGTGAGGAAAGTGATTTTCTATTAATGATGCTTAAAGATTTACTTAAAGTTAGAAAAGATTTAAAAGTGATACTTATGAGTGCGACATTAAATGCAAAAAACATTTCTGAATATTTCGGTGGTGTGCCAACATTGGAAATACCTGGAAGAACATATCCTGTGGAACAGTTGTTTCTTGAGGATATTTTGGATGTTATTAATTTTAATGTATGTATCAAATAATAATGTTATATTTTATTTTATAATTGTTATAATATTTTTATATAGCAAGAAGATAACTCTCAGTATACAACTCACAATAAGAAAAAAATTGATACTATCAATCACCTTGAAGAATTAATAACAGAAACAGCAGTTCCTAGTCATACTATTCGGGATGAAAATTTAAATATCAGTCAAATCTGTGCTAGATATAAAGGTTTGTTACATTAAAATCTTTATTTTTATATCCAATAAATCCTAAAGCAATAGATTGTTAAATACTGGTAAAAACTACGGCCTTCTTTTATAGGGCATACCAAATTGACTTATAAAAATCTGTATTTAATGGACCCTGATAAAATAAATCCAGAATTGATAGAGCGTGTACTTGAGTACATTTGTGTAGGTAATCATGATTGGCCAAAAGAAGGATCTATTTTAATTTTTTTACCAGGAATATCGGAGATATCAACAGTTATGGATCATTTGAAAGACAATCATTTATTTAAACCCAGGTTAATATTTAAATGTTGCTATATTCTGTAGCAAGAAATTTATTAATTTGTTTATTCAAGGACTGGACAATTCTTGCTATTGCCATTACATTCAACATTAGGTTCTGAGGAGCAATCTGCAATATTTAAAAAACCTCCACGAGGTGTCAGGAAAATTGTTTTAAGTACTAACATTGCTGAGACATCTATTACAATTGATGATTGTGTTTTTGTAATTGATTGTGGAAAAATGAAGGAGAAAAGGTATTTTAATTTTATATATCATCTACTCATAACTGCAAATAAAATAAATAGAATGCTTTTATATTTATGCCTATAAATTTATTTATAATTTTATAGATTTGATAGTGGGCGCAATATGGAATCATTAGATATGGTATGGGTATCTCGTGCTAATGCTTTACAACGCAAAGGTCGCGCTGGTCGTGTGATGCCTGGTGTTTGCATTCATTTGTATACTAGTCATCGTTTCAACTATCATTTTCTGAAAGAACCAGTTCCTGAAATACATAGAATACCTTTGGAACCATTGATACTGAGAATTAAGACAATGGAGTTATTTTGCAATCAAAATTTGTATGAAGTTCTAGGTGGGATTATCAAAGTTCATAGTCATACTTTGAAATGAACTCTGTTAGTAATATTATTAACCATTTACTAATTCTATTGTTCAACAGAAAAGACCTTAGAACCACCTTCTAGAGCTAGTATTACATCAGCTATAAACAGATTACGTGATGTTGGTGCTTTGGATCTGGAGGATAATCTATCACCCCTTGGCCATCATTTGGCAGCTCTGCCTGTTGATGTAAGAATTGGTAAACTGATGTTGCTTGGTGCCATATTTCATTGTGTAGACTCAGCATTAACCATGGCTGCATGTCTAAGTTATAAAACACCATTTTGTTCACCATTTGGCAAAAAGGATCAGGCAGATAATAGGAAGAGACAGTTTGCTACAGGAAATAGTGATCAACTAACTGTGCTTAGAGCGTACCAGGTAAATCTTATTACTCTAAATTTGTTTCATATTTTATTGGATTTGTGATGTATTTTTCAATTAAAGAGAACATTGTATTTCAGAAATGGCAAGAAGTTTCTAAAATTAGCCATTTGGCAGCAATAAATTTTAGTGAAGAAAATTTTTTATCTTACAAAACATTGACTGCTTTAGCAGATATTAAGCAACAACTTTTAGAACTATTAGTATCAATTGGGTTTGTCCCAATAACTATGCATCCATCTAATAATAATGGCAAGGACAGAATTTTAGAACTAACAGGCAATGAGGTAATAATATTATATTTGAATAAAATAAATTTACTTTATAATACTTTAATCTCTTTAATAACTGTTTTTTAGCTGAATGTAAATAGCAAAAATTTTCGATTATTATCAGCTATATTAAGTGCAGCACTGTATCCAAACATAGTGAAAGTATTCACACCAGAAAAATCATTTGAACCAAGTGCATCTGGTGCTATACCCCGATTGCCTAAATCTGGAGAGTTAAAGTTTAAGACAAAAGCCGATGGATATGTAAGAACATTATATACAAATGTTATTCTTTCTGCAAGTTTTATATAAAACTTTTTTATTTAGGTGCATATTCATCCTTCATCAGTAAACTATACAGTAGGCCATTTTTCTAGTCCGTATTTAGTCTTCCAAGAAAAAGTTAAAACTTCTAAAGTGTTCATTCGTGATTGCTCAATGGTTGCAATGTTACCATTAGTTTTATTTTCTTCTCATTTAGAAGTGGAACTACAAGGTGGAGATTTTATTATTTCAATTGAAAAGGGATGGATTTTATTTAAAGCATTCAATCATAGGGTAAGTTAATCTAATATTCTATATAATGTGAATAAAATAATATTTATTAACAATCACAGATAGCCGAAATGTTGAAGCATATGCGCCAAGAACTTTTACAACTATTAGAAGAGAAGATAAAGGATCCTTACCTCAATTTACTTAATCATGATAATGGAAATAAAATTATTAACACGATAGTCACCATCATATCAAAAGATTAATGTGTTGAACATGAGCCAGTTCAATATATAATGCATACACTCATGAATGTGATATTTTTATAATACAAGAGATTTTATGAATAATAAATTGTTTTTATTTCTATTTACATTACGATCAAACTATATTTATGATAGATTTATACACTTCTCACTTTTTTAATTTCTTTATATATGCATTCTTGTTTTACTGAAAATAAAAATGATTAATTACGACTAGTGGAAAGCAAAAAATAAAAATTGATAATATTCTAATACATACTGTAAGGATCTATTCTTAACATTTCTAGTTTGTCAGCGAGTCTTTCCCTTATCCAAACAAATTTATGACCTGTAACTACACTTTCCATGAGTACCATAACAGATCTGAAAAGATAAAAGCAAATAATAATGCAGGAAAATAAAACTTTTATGGCTAAAATATGCCATTACCACTCACTTGCTCTTAGCCCTTTTTAATAAAACGTTCGTTAAAAACATTTTAAAATATCACTTGCAGAAATTTAAAAATACTTTGGAGAAGTATTTATTGGTTATATCACATGTAAATGAATCTTATAACTTTTTTAGTCTTTTGAATATTATATTTTTACCCTTTTGAATATTATTTTGACATATCCATGTCCGCATCTGACAACACTACTTAAAACATGGGGAAGTGTTATTTGTTGTTCTCTGGCAACATTATAATTCGTTTTATAAGGGGAAGGGGCAACATCTGCTTCGTTTTCCCTCGGTTTTCTATTCGCTATTATTAAAGTCGCTTTGTTAACTCGAAGAGGTACTTGCTCTGAAAGTTCAGATATATTATCTGTTTTGGTTTTGAATTGTTTTATATTTATTTTCTAAAGTGCAAATATGTCTGGACGTGGCAAAGGTAAGTTAATAATAAAATATTTTATTTGTAGGCTTAGGCTAATTTTCTTTTCCTGTTAGGCAAAGCTAAGGGAGTTAAATCAAAATCCCGCAGCAACCGCGCCGGCTTACAATTCCCTGTCGGTAGAATTCACAGGCTTTTGAGAAAAGGAAATTATGCTGAACGGGTCGGCGCTGGAGCACCCGTCTACTTAGCTGCTGTCATGGAATACTTGGCAGCTGAAGTCCTTGAATTGGCGGGAAATGCAGCTAGAGATAACAAAAAGACAAGGTTTGTATCTAGGCAATTAGTAGCTTGGAATTTTATTTGAACAATTTGAGTAATTCTATTTATCATTCACAGAATTATTCCCCGTCATCTCCAACTGGCGATCCGTAACGACGAAGAGTTGAATAAGCTACTTTGCGGAGTCACTATCGCTCAAGGAGGTGTTTTGCCTAACATTCAAACTGTTTTATTACCTAAGAAAACTACTACGAATACATCTGCACCTGCAAAGGGAGGAAAGACCCAACCATCACAAGAATATTAAATTTTAAACTAAGTTATTATAAGCCATTTTTATAAATTGATCATTGTTATATCGTGTACTAATTTGTAATAAAAATAAATTGATAAAATGTAGTTACGTTTTTTTATTGTGGTAGCATTTTTGTTAATGTCCTGTGGGCGGCACGCCTATAAAATATTTGTCTGCCTGTCAGTAAAATGTAAATGATTACTGTCTTCTTAAGCTAAAGCTTCGTTAAAAAATCTACGGATAAATAAATTTAAATATTTCATAAAAATAAAATAGCAAACACTTTGTAGCCATTTCATAAAAATAAAATGGCAAAAACGGCAGAAGAAACAGAATTGCTAAAATGCTTATAAAAATAACTACATAAAACTTTAAGCCTTAAGAACCTTTAAAGTTTTCAATTTTTTCAGTAAAACATCTACCATATACAATAATATTAACCAAGCAGTATTAGTATATTAAAGCTAAGCATAAGGGCTCAATTTTCATTTAATTTCAGTGCTATGTAAAGTGTGGAATTATATATTATTAAAACTTTGTATTATTTTGAAATATAAGGTAGTGTCACAGTTTCTTTGTTTGCCTGCAGTGCAATCATTTAAATATAAATGTTTATTATTGTTCTATATTTGAATTTAAAACAAATGTTTGATTGGGCATATGCAATATTTATGCAAGATAAATATTTAATTGTCCAGTATTTCCTGAAATATATTAAGCATTGGTAAAAATTTGACATTAAAGAACAATAATGCTTTAATTTTGCATAAGGCTCAGTGAATTTTCTATTTCATTACAGTGCAAGTGAAATGTAGTGTTAATGTATTTTTAAGATTTTTGATAACAATACCTCAGAAAAATGGTTAAAAAATCTTATTTATGGAGTGCACATTATCCATGCTGTTAATGGTGAGTACCCCACTGTAATATCTCAACTAAAAAATGTCTTTACTTTTGACTTTATTAAGAATTGAAAAATACAAGAAATTTCTTCATGATTCAAAATTACTCTTAAAACAATAATTCTTATCTATATATATTCTTAAAATCTACATTTGCATTAATAGAACAATTTGTTTCAAAAAAATATTGAAGCATTGCAAATAGCAGGAATGAGATGCCATTGTTTAACTAGCATAATGTTGACACAGACATACACCCTTTATTTCATTCTGTAATTAAATAATCATATCATTATCATTCTAATCTTTTGCTGGAACTTCAATAACTCTAGGTTTGTCAATTATTCTTGCTGTGCGATTTCCTTTTTCAACAATTCCAATGATCCAAGCTTGGTAACCTTCTTGTTTCTCAATGTCTTTGCAATAAGCTGCAGCCTGTTCTCTTGGGAGGCAGATCAAAAGACCTCCAGAAGTTTCTGCTGAATGTCCTTGCAGCAGTTGAAACATGTTACCACATGCTTTTGCTACAGCCGTCATCTTGGCAATCACAGGCAAATTGTGAATTACAAAGGACACTTCGTTCTTTTGATGAGATGCCAAATTTTGTGCATGTCCCAACAAGCCAAAACCTGTTCAAATTAAGATTGATATAGATATAAATAGGTAATGCTTCATTTTAGTCATAATTCTGTAGCATTACCTGTTATATCTGTGGATCCATGTGCATTATATTTGTGCATAAGTCTTGAAGCAATTCTATTAAGTCGAGACATGGAATCCATTGCCCGATGATAAGCTTTGCGTACATCTTCTTCTGAGACAACTAATTTAATTCTATTCCAACGTTCTGGCTGATCCAACCTATAAAATATAATATACACATTGCAACAATGATGTATACAAATACATGATATAAAATGTCAAGTAGAGCTAGAAATAGACTATCTAAGAAAGCAAATTTACTTCATTCTTGAGTTATTGCCTAATACAAATTAATATTCAATTTACCATTGGTGAGCATTGACTGCTACTTGGGTTCCAAGGGGTTTTGTTAACACCAATACATCTCCCACAACAGCATTATCTGGCACAATATATTCATTAGGCTGGCATACTGTTGAGGCAACACCTCCGATTGTACACCATGGATTTACAACTGTTTGCCCTCCAGTCACTGATGTTCCAGCCTCAAGTGCAGAGTCTTTGAATCCTCTCATAATCAATGGAATGACTACATCACGTTCTTTTTCAGTCATTTTAGTTGAGACCTATAGACGCAAAGATGAATTGAAAATACAGTATAAACCATTGCATTTTATAAAAGCAATGTTTTTGGAACTTATACTTACTGCAAGTAACATGAGCATATTATCACATTCGGTCACTCCCATTGCATATAAGTCACTCAAAACATTAGCACAAGCAATTTTGCCCATCATGTAAGGATCATCGACCAAGGGATAAAAGAAGTCTGTCGTTTGTACAAGACAAAGACCCCCGTGCCGCAAAGGAGTGACTGAACAATCGAGACCAATCCCAATTCTTGGGATGGCCATATGCATGAAATGAGCATGTTCATGTTCTTGGGCATTATAATCTTGTTGCAGGGACTCTACCAGTTTACCTAGATTGATATGATTTTATTAAATATTTAATTAAAGATAATGCTGATAAACAACAGACAATTTCAGATTCTCGACTATTTTCTAAACAGTATTCAACAGAAAATCAGATCTGGACATGCTTATTAAATAAAGATAAGAAAATATTCCTCTAAAATTTATAATTAACGTTTTTTTTATCATACATGTTCATAAAATCATTTTTTAAGTAAATCGCGAATGATAAATTGTAGAAGCAATTATTCAAACTCATCATAGAGTAATAATTATAATAGAGAATTCATGTAAAACCAGTTGATTTGACAGCTGGAAAGAATATGCCAAAAACATAAATTCACATATCCGAATTGTTTTCATAAACATACCGATTCCCAAACTGTAGATAATATTTTTAGGTAAAACACTATTATTGAACAGTATGTTAAAATAATGTGCATCAATATGAATTCTTAAACAAGTATTTCATCTCATTTCGTAAAATTCGCAGAATATTTTATATCAAACATCACATAACAAAAATTTTTTTGGCTACCTCATATGGAATATATGAATGCAAACAATGGAAAATTCCAGAATCAGCTACTGTATGGCAGCTTGTATTGCAAGTGCATTATGTGTGCAATTAAAAATAATTTCTTATTGAGGTTTGAGAAGTGCAGAACTCACCGAGGACTTCTTGAGGAACTTTGCAGCCGCGTCCTTTCAAATCGGCAAATCTCGTCAGACGAAAACTGGCTTCCAAATCATGGGCCGTGGGGTCAAATGGTCGGCGTAAGGATAATGCATTGGGATTGCCGGCCATCTCCAAGGCTGCTACTTGTAAAGCATCTTGCGTCACATTTTGATAGTCACCCATTGTTGATATAATTACTTTACTTAATATATATTGTAGTGGAACTTAATTATTATAAACAAACGATCACTATCCTGAACAAACGAATGACGAATGCAAAATGGAGTTCTCCCTTTATTAAAAACAAGCGCAAGCGCTAATAACTCTGTAGTTACACGATTGGTCCGAAATATCAGCGGGCTCCAATGCTGCGATATGATTGGCTACTGAAGCCTCACTAAACGATACGGGGAGAAGTCAGTATTTCTCCCTAAATCACTCCGGAAAATAGGATTTACTCTTATATTAACAATTGTGCTCAAAAATGCAATAACTATTTAAAAACATATATAATCGGACCAGTATTTTCTGCTAAATAAATTGCATGACACTCTGCCCTATTTTAAATACGATAGAAGCTGAAATTATTTTAGTTTGAGGATTTCAACAGCGCCATTGTTTTGTTGTGGGAAAACACAGAAGTGTTGAAATAACGCTTGGCGCCAAATTTGAAATCTTAATTTATATGTATCATTCTTAATAAATTCGGTGATAGTGTAAAACTGTGTTAGGCAAAAATATTGCAATTATGTATTTCTTCCAAAATCATTTCATCTTCTAAAAATTTAATATAATTTTATATGTACCAATATTTATAACAGGATATTTTATATATTTAAAGATAAAATTTAAAATATTTATTGCTAAAACAGCTATCATAAGTTTAGAGATTTGAAAGAATTTTTTAATGAACTAATATTAATTTTGAAATCATGCACCGTACATTTTAATTCTATACTATGATGGAAGATGGACACGAGTTAAACTCGTACTGTCACTTCATCCATCATACTTGAAAAATGTTAAATATTATTTACAACATCTGACATAAGAAATATTTGTGACACAGAAAATATACATTAATCAATTAGCAAAATGTCATTTTTAATCAATAAAGGTGAGATTTATATAATTCAATTTATTTTTTATGATCTAAACTGTATAATGTGCTTAACCTAAAATTTATAGGTTCTAAAACTATTGTATCTACAACTTTGCAATTTAAACGTTTTCGTGGTAAAATTAATATTCAAAGACCACGAGAACCCCATTATGAAAAAGCTAGAGTTTTAAGGTTTGTACAACCAATTTTTGCTGATAAGAAGAAAAAATTACCTATTATCGATCTATGCACTAAACCTGTGGATACTACGAAAAGGAATGTAGTTAACAATCCTTTAGAAAATATACTTGCTAAAGAATGTCTTAATTGGTTTAATCATTCTAAAATGGTAGTATTTTTCCATAAAAACACGTTCAACAAGGAAGATGAATTCGAAGCAATGGTTAAATTAAAACATGAAAATATGTATATGAAACAATATGGAGCTGCTATAGTGAAAAAGGCCCTTGTGGATACAAAATATGAAGCCGTACTAAGTCTTTTTAAATCACATAATGTGATGATATTCAGCCCGGATATTAAAGTTTCTAAAGTGCTTAAAATAATGAAAAAATATCCTCAATTAATAATGTTAGGTAAGCATTAGTATCTTCGTAGTTAAATTACTAGATAACGTAAAATATGGAAGAATCATGACATTTATAAAAACAAATCATATGGAATTCAATGTTAAATAATTAATACCAAATTTAATGTTAAACAATTAATATTACATTATATTAATAATAATTCTGCC